TTATATGACAGGAAGACTTATTGATTTTGTTTCAGTGCACAGAGGATTTAAATTTGTCAAATTATTTCTTTACCAATGTTATAATTCTTGGTGAAAATAAAACATTCTCTGCTTCTCACATGTGAACAGTTGAACACTTTTCTGTTAAAGACACCTTTTCCTGTTTCTTTCATTTAGTCCTAAAATGAGAAACTGATTTCTTACAGTTGTTTGAGGACATTAACGTGGATGATTGGTAGAAGTTCTCTGCTTCTCCACTGTTGAATCATTTTCTGTGAATGTTTTTGTTGCTTTGATTTTTTTTTTAATGATTAACAAGTTAACTAATCGATTGGTGGATTGATTTATTACAATCGTTATAAATCATTAACATGGTTAAGGATTTCATCATTTATCAGACAGGAAGGACACGTTTAGTTTTCCGAGCAGTTTTTGTCTGATTTAATTTGTCATAATTGAACATCGTCGGGTCATTGGATGGTTTGTTGCCCAAAACAATCATGAATATTTTTCCATTATTTCCTGGTGAAAACAGACCAAATTAATAAAAGAAATGAATCATCATTGAAAACAATGCCTGGATTCACCCTCAGACCCTCTGGTTGTAATTCACTGAGCCTGTCCTGTGTTGATGAATCATCACTAATATGTGGAAATTGAATTCCCATGGTCTTGACTCGATTTGGCTACGTTCTGCGAGGGCGTAAACAGGATGTGAAACAAGAACCACGCTCAGCATCGTTCAGAGCTGGTGAGACATGAAAATGAATATTTAACTTCAACGTTTAAAAAGTCACCAAACAGCTGCTGAAAAAGTTAAAGAAGTTAAACAGAAATTAGGTTTTTAAATTCAACTTTTAATGTTTTGTAAATCAAAGCATTTGTTTTTTTTCAATATGTTTTTCATTTGGCTCAGAAATGAATATTTATTGATTATTTAAACTGATTTACTCCCTTTTTTTATTTTTTATTAATCGACTGATCGTTGCTGCAGAAACATGTTGACGTTTTCAGATGATGTATTTAGAGTTGAGCTGAGAACGTTTGTTCATAAACCAGTTTGTGTGAAAAGGTGTAAATGAAGTAGAAAGTGGGGTTTTCAGCCTGCAGGGTTTCAGCTCTCAAGTTGTTTGCCAGATTAACAGAAGCGGTTTCTACGACATGGTTTTCAAGGTCACACATTTTCAATCATGTTTGAAATGTTGTGACAGAGAAGTTATTTAATAGGAGAGAGAGACATGACCCACAGTTTAACTCGATCTGCAGCAGTTTCATTAATCAGTTCTGCCTCAGTCTCTGTGCTTCATTCAGAAAACGTTGTATTTCACTTCTGTTCAATGACAATAACATCAAATAGCCTGCATATGATGAGTTCAGTAGACTGAGATCACAGCTCGGAACTTCATTAGTAGAATTAGGCCTTTCTTTATCAGTGTCATCAACAGTTTGTTATGAATTATGTTCCGTTTACTGCCTCATTTCTTAGTAACTTGAACGTAACAAACAGAAACTGAATTAAACACACAGTAAATATCTAAATAATATACGTATTTTGGAAATATTACAGAAATGTACATTATTGCACAAGGATGTGACCTGCATGTGATATGGAACATAGTTTATAAAATTATATGACTATACAAAAGGTGTGTAAGTTTATATAACAACTTCCTGATGCTGGTGAAGTAAAAGACGTGATGACTCATGATAAACAGAGTCTCTGAATAACTTTTCCTCATGGGAAAAAAAACTATAGTAACAAGTAAAAGTAGCAAAACATAATAAATACGTTTTAAAGTATTGAGTGAATCGTCCCAGACTTAAATTAGTGGGCAGTTGTGTGAATTGTGAACTGTTTTCATATTTGTATAAATATTGAAGTTTCTCTCTATAAAGAAGGACGTATACTAAGACATGGAGAAAATGTTTTTAAGATTCTCAAGTGAAATTATTTTACTTGACTCTTCCTCGTGTTTGATATCGTGTCGGTGCTGTCTGACTCGTTTTCTGCTCAGAAGTTGTGTGTCGGGATAAAGGTTTGTGTGTGGGTGTGTCTGTTCTGCAAGGAGTGCCTTCCTCAGGTTACTAAATGTCAAACACTGTGTGTGTGTGTGTGTGTGTG